ACACCGGATGTTACAGCAAATGATGAGCAATAAGAATTGTACAGAAATCTTGCAGTTCTCCACCACACATCACGGATAGAGATACTCAGAAATTTATTTTTAGATTTTTTCCATATAGAGGGTAGTTTTTGTGCTGAAGATATTACTATAATTTCGCATACGAAATTTGCTTGTCTTAGCATCACTGATATTGCGACAGTATTTTGAATGTCAAATGTCGTAGCTTCTGCATCATAAGAATTGTCGTATTGAATGAACCTTCTTACAAACCGGTCACTCTGATATACTGCAGTGGGAAAGGTTTGAATAAACATTTTCTTTAAGCTATCATTTTAACCGGATTCCATGATGGTCTATCGTTTGCGAAGCGGTTACCATTACCCTTGTGACAAATATGATGAGCGACAATGTAATTCAACCGCAACTGATAAAAGACTTGTATCATCGGTGACGGTGTAGCGCATTCCTCCATTTGGTATAGAAGTTTTGCTTGTAAACTATTCAAGAACTTTTCAGTCAAACGAATCAAGACATGACGCGCTTCACCATCACACCTCTGCTGCCTCCCAATTTTCGAAGACTGCTGCAAAGAAGAGCCGCCATGAAACGGAAGGCTGATGACCAGCATCAGGACATGGTGATCGACCCAAAGCAACAGCGTCAGACCGGTAAGAAAAAGATGGAGATGGTGCCACCAGCAGAGTGTAGCCAGGAAGCACCTTCGCAAAATCATATGGACAATGACTCGTCCTCCTGCGAATCGAAAGTTGACATCAAACTTTCACATAATGAAGCGCATCCTGAAGACTCTGAAGTAAGTTTTCGGACAAGTTTTTTTCTCTTATGATGCTTATTGGTCAGAGGAACGATAAGTTGCCCAAAAACATTCATCTGAACAAAGACATTCAACAAGTGCTTTCTCAAAATCGAAGTAGTATTCTCGCTGACCCAAAATTAATTGACTTCGACTCAAGCATCCAACACAAGCAATATTCCGTACCCCCTGAAGTAAGTACACTGATGTTTTCGTTGTTTTTATCGCATTTATCATTCAGGAGGGCATAGCCATACCAAAACAGCCATTTCCGGCACACAGAGCTTACAAAATGACTCAGACAAGTCAAGAGAACATCGCACATGGCTCCTCATTTTGTAACGTGAAATTGGATATCAGTTTCGAGTCTTGCGTTGCGTCTATTAAACAATTTGTTGGACCTCTCCATTTTGCTACGAAATTAATTTTGTAGGCAACCCGTGAATCTACCCCCGAAAGGCAACTGCAGCAAATGGTTTCCAAAAGCAACATCGTCAATGACATATCATTTTTCGGCTTTATTCCTGACGTCATACCTGAGCCTTCCGAAGTATCTGTGGAAGTAAGTCTACTGATGTTTCCTGCGATGTCACGGTATTAATTATCAACAGATTTGCAACTCGCCGATGAAGGTCAGTCCGGTGCCGTGTACTCAGCAAGTGACTGATAAAGTGCGGAACAACTTTGCTAATGAGTTGTCGTTTTATGGCTCTAACCAAGATACCTTACTTGATCCTTGCACTCTGCCTGTTGAGGTCAGTATGCTATACAATTCTGCCCTGTCAGAGCACCTACGTTTCAGTTAAGCGCTGAGGCGTGCAATGAGTTTTTCTCGGAAGAAAATGCGCAACAAGTGACTTCCGAAAAAAACATCTTCAACGACAAATCTCTGTTCCAACTTTCGCCTAGTGTCTTATCCGAGCCTTGTGATGTGTCTGCAGAAGTAAGTCTATTGATACAGCATTTGTCGATCAATAGAATTGCAATATGGCGCAGCAGTTTATCATGAGACAATGAACTTTGCAAATAATTGATGAAACACAAAATAACTTTGTGACTGACACCTCGCCTTTTGCCTCATACTCTGATATCGAATTTGAGTCTTGCACGCTGTCTCTCAAAGTGAGTCTGATTTCGGATTCTGTCTTGTAACAACAATTGTGTTTCAGTCAAGCACTGTAATGCTTAAAGAATTTTTTCCGGAAAGAAATGTGCAACAAATGATGTCGAAAAACAACGTCGTCAACGATACATCGTTTTTTGACTTTCTGTCTGATATCATACCTGATCCTTGCGATACGTCTGCCGAAGTAAATGCACTGATATTTCCTTCGATGTGACGGCATTTTTTATCTATAGATTTTCAACACGTCAACGATGACTATTCCGGCGCAGTATACTCAGAGATTAACCGATCAAGTACAAAACAGTTATGTTGACGACTCATTTTTTACCTCAAATTCTGATATCCCATTTGATCAGGGCAATCCGCTTCCTGAAGTGAGTTTAGTTTCCGATTGTGCTTTGTTACAGTTTTTGTCCTAGTCAGTCGTTGAGTTGACTAATGAGTTTTTTCCGGAAAATAATCTGCAACAAGTAATGTCGAATAACAACGTCGTCAACGACACACCGTTCTTTGACTTTCCGCTTGGCATCATGCCTGAGTCTTGTGAAGTGTCTGCAGAAGTAAGTATATTGATATGTTTTTTGTCACAACATTTGTTGATCAATAGGATCGGAATATCTTACAGCAGATTATTCCGAAACAATGCACTCAGCAAATGACTGATCGAACGCAAAGCAGTTTTGTTACTGACACGTCGCTTCTTGCCGCAAATCCTGGTATAACATTTGATCGTTGTACTCTGTTTCCAGAAGTGAGTTTGTTTTCGCGTTTTGCCATGTCATGGCATTTATTTTTTAGTCAGATGGAAATTTGTTCGAAGAGTCCTATCTCAAAGAATCAACTCAACAATTCAGCACGCAACAGCAAAGCAGTCCATCGAATGGCTCGTCGTTCTTCAGTTCCGTGACTGATGTGGAGGAGGACATTCACAAGGTGCCTCAGGAAGCGAGTCTGCTATGAGTTAAGCGTTACTACAGCAGTTATTTTACAGGAAAGCGACTATATGCCAGAGCAGCTCTTCCCAGAACAACGCTTTGAACAGATTGCTTTTACAAGTCAAAATGATACTAACGATGGTGCATCATTTTTCGACTTGAAAACTGATTTCCAATTTCAGCCCTGCGATCCGCTTGTTGCAGTAAGTCTACTTGTGCGTTTTGCTCTGAAACAGTTTTCAATGGTTCGGAGAGCTGCTACCTGCTAAGTAACTTTTTCCGTGAGAACCGCATCATCCTCTTCGGCCGGTGTCACTTCAGCGTTCAATGAAATCCTCACCATATATTTTTACTTTACGTCATTTTCATCAACCCTGATCACCGTGAGAATGTACCCAACATTCAGATACCTTTAATTAAACTGTAAAGGAAGGAAATGAACGACTTTCGTGTACACTCAGCCAGACTTGACAAAGAACAGCTTCACTTTAAAAGAACTATATTCCAAAACGGCATCGGCAATGTTTCATCGCTTTCCAGTTACAATGCTGATATCAATAATGTGTTTGGTCCTTTTCATCCAGAAGTGAGTTTTCTGCTCTTTCTTGTCGAAAAATGTCACTAGTGGCAAGTACGGTGAGCTATGCAAAGATCATTTTGCCTCAAAGAATAAGCAATTCAGTCTAAACTATGGTCTCGTTTGATGAGTTTCTGCATTTGAAAGATGCAGTGCCAATTTCAATGAAAATTCAGTCACATTGACTCGGAGTTAAGTTAAATATCAGCTCTCTGTAGATTAGGCTGCGCTCAGTCAATAACCAAGCTATTAAAAATACAAATTTTGCATTGGAAATGATCTTGACAATTTTTTAATATTCAACTTTGGAAAATCGCATGTGAGCCCTTTATTATGTAATGGCTCTGTTATGTTTACCTTTGCGGGGCTGGTACAGTTGTAAAACAGTTTCAGAAATAGAGATAAACTGAA